GATTCTCACCTCTTGCGCAGCAGCCAACCAGTTCACAACTGGGAGTACCGATCCACCATGGGGACTGGAGACACCCGGGCAAAAAGGCTGCTGGAGTCCTATAGCCTGTGCTTTACCTGTAGGGTGTTACCGAAACCCACTTCAGTCAGGTGCGAGCCCAGAGCTGCAGGAATAGAAATCTTCTGTCATAGTATGGTGAGAGGCTCTCATCTGTATTGCGCAGTGTCTCAAGCTTAGCTCAGAGAAACCTGCTCTCCCAGAACATATTTGCTGCTCCCAGAGAGTGAAGTTTCTAGTGGAGTCCTAGTGGAGTTTCTCACAGCATTGCTTCTAAGAAGGAATGCATCTGGCACCGTGAAAATATTTCCTGTGTAAACTGTTTGTGGATATCAATAAAATTCCCTGTCTTAAACAATTTTGGTTCAGGGAAAAGCTTTTAAACCTGAGTGTCCCCTGCATACTGTATTTTTGCGTGTGCACCAAGTAAGATGTTATAAGGTCGTATCCAAGGTCATACAGGAGTCCATGGAAAGTTGCAAAACAGTAGGGTGGAGTGGATTAACTCTTAGAGAAAAGACTGCTATACAGAACTACAATGTACTAGAATATAGTATATTTTAGTTTAGATAATAATGTTTTTAATTCAGTACTTGAGTATATTTTTATTCTGTAAGTTACTAACTACTCTGTTACTTTATGATATTAGAAAGCTACAGAAGTGTTCTTGTATTACTTAATGCATTGTCCTGCAGTCCTGACACAAAACATCAGAATTTTTTATTTGGTTGATATGTTACTACAGAAGTCCTTTTTGCCATTAAAAGAAGCATTAACTTAATAATTTCAAGAATATAGAAATTATTATACTAAAATGAGGCAAAAGCTCATTAAATTATGGAGATGAGATTTATGGCAGGTGACTCAAGCATATTGACTATGGAGTCCAGACTTGCTCCTTGAAAGATCACCAGCCCTACTGTTACAAGGAATCCTAGTGCCTTCAGCACTTCCTGAGCTCATCCTCATTCAGTCCCACCCTTTTTCCGTATCGTTACCTTTTCTTTTTCACAAAGCGGCAAAAATATGTGAAGCTGCCTGGATTGAATAGGCAGGAGTATGACCTGAAGCTCATGTATATAATGTATCTACACCTTTTTCGTTACTGTCCCAGGTGCGCTGTGCAATCCCTCTCAAGCTTCGGATTTCATCCTGAGCTGATAAGGCACAAGGTCTCTTCTTAGCCTTTTTGGGAAACACTGGGTGCATTTACAGTGTCCTGCAAGATGACATTTTCAGACACTGCTCAAGCCAAAAACTTGGAACAGCCCCATGCTGCCAACATGTATACCTCACCAGGCCAGGGGGGAACACATGCAGCTGTCACCTCTCTAAAAGTGCTGTGGCAGAACCAAGGCACCCTTCTCTTCTCATTTACGGGGCTGGCCATGCTGTCACATCACTTACTGGAGCCCTTCCAGGAGGAAGGACACACTACACAAGAACTCCACAAGAAATTCTAGATTTAGAACAACTATGAGTATGTCTGCAACCAAACCAAAGCTTCCCTCACCCCACAGCCATCAATGAAATGCTGTTCAAGCAGACCAGCAGACAGTAGGAGACTCTGCATGCGTACGTCACACACATCCACACAGTCCTTTGGCTTTCAGAGGCTATTCCCCCCATATACTGGCTAACTCACACTTTAATGGTGCCATCCAGCTGCTGGCATCCCAAGAGCTGTGTGAGCCAAAACCGCCCCGTGGCTGACCTTCCGCCAGCAAAGGTGTGTAAATTTTGAACCGACAGTAGCAGGGCCAGCATGTCACCACAAGAAAACACACAGGTTCATCCACAAAGAAAGCTTATCTTTACTTGGTTAGAAACACTTCTTGGTTCTGTTTTCCAGACCAGATTCTCCATAGGCACTCAGACATACAGTGTCTAGCAATATATCTACTGGTTGCTTGAACTGCAAACTGATGAACAGAACTCCATGCTTATTTATGGGACAGATAATCTCACCTTACCTTCTTTCCACCCTCAAATCCTGTTCTCTTCCTCGTTAAGATCAGGCAGCTGAGAGATCTTATAGGATCAGAAGTTAGTGACTCTGTTCCCAAATTCACTTGGCCCTGTTTCCTTTAAACTCGTGCTACAGAGTGCTCTTATGCTGAAGAAAAAGGACTTTGTTGCCCATGCCTGTAGTGTTAGATAATGCTTTTAACAAAGCAGACAAGGTAAGTTCTAATAAGTATTCTTAGTCCTCAGAAGGGAGCAGGAACTGCATGCTTGCTACTTGGAGTCAGTGGTTCAGACAGGTGCATAATCTGATTGTACTGAATACAGTCAATATTTGTAAAAAAAGTCCAATGAACTTTGGACAATCTCCAAAGCTAACTTCAGCGTAGAGCCAAGAATTTGAGTGTTGGAAAGACCTGCCGGGCAAGGTTGGAGGCAAGGAATGTGTCTCTAACGGCCATATGTGATGTACTGGGGGTGGGAGGGAGGGCTGCTGTGTTACGCTAAGGCAATTGCTGCATGTGTGGTCAGACACCCTCAGACATTACTTGGATGCAGATGGCTACAGCTTTCTCTGGTGGGGCTCACTTTCACGTAGCATCAAATAGTGCCAAATACCCAGTAAAAAAGTGGCATTGTTAGCCTGCTGACACTTAACTTCTTTGGGAAGCTCCAGTTAAAGATGGTATTTTTGGTTTAAGTTTTTTAGTTTTCACTCTGCCAGTCTCTCGTGTAGACATGGGCAGCCAAAACCTGGCTCCCTTCTTGTTTCAGATATTCCAACACAGTTTGGAGGTCTCAGGAGGAGAGAGCCCTCTGGCCAGCCTTGGGAGGCTTTTAGTTGACGTCGGAAACATTGAAGAGGGGTGACATTTCTGAGGTCCAGATGTGCTCCTTATGAAAGTGCCTTCAGTCCACCAAGTGCTGTCAGATATTAGCAGAAGTCGTATCTTTACATACCTTGGGCAGTGGAGAGCTGTCACAGGGTGTGAATTTTCTAGATAGATGAGGAACAGAGCAGGTGCCATTTGAGCAGCATTGTAAAGCTGAAGAGATGGTATTCAAACTGGGATGCTTTCACCACAGCAGTCATAAGGAGCAAGGTAATGTGAATGTGGATGTGTCCATCATAAATAATCATTGCAATTTGACAGCTCCGTGGCTTGGGCTTAAGGGTTAGGCAGAGCTCTTTTAGCTTTCCTTTTCTCTTTACATTGCTCTTTATATCCCAGAAAGGAAAAGAAAAGCAAAGTTCATGCATGTTAAAACCCTCAGGATTACCTTATGCATCTCAGCAAAGATAGAAGGAAATCCCCTACATGATGGAGAATTTTGTGACTGGTGATCATAACTGTAACTTTATATATGGCGACTTTTAATTTGTGTTATGCTGCCTTTCCCTTTTACCAGGAAGATTATAAAAAGCCATAAGAACCATGCCTCTAGTCCTCTCCCTCTGTGCAGGCTTAACTCCTCAAAGCTTCCTCTTCAAATGTCATTTGAGAACAAATCCTGGCTTGTCTACATCCAACCTTCTTTCTCAACAGCTCCCTGTTGCCACCCCTGGTTTTCAGAGATGCCAAAAACATGATTTTCCTGTTCAAAAGACGCTGCATGCCACGTAATTCTTCTCAGCAATGCTTACTTGCCAGATGACTCAGTAACTTCCAAAAACTTCATACTACTCTTCCTTCTTTTCATCTTAGCACTGTGTAGTGATGCATATGCTTCTGGCATCTGTAAAAACACTGTATCTGCCTAACACAGCTAGAGCCTCCTTTAAACTCAAAAGCAGAAAAATGTGTGCAGGCATTCTTCCCTGGGCACAGAATTTCTCTATGACATAAAACACAGATAAGACTCACTTACAGAAGATAAAAAAAAAATCAAAGGAAAGTAGTGGTGCTAGCAAAGATAGAAGGGGAGAACAAGTTTGGCAGAAGCCATTATTGAACATAAAGAAAGATTGTTGCAGTTTATTGTTCACAGAGCTCCCCAACTTCTGACTTCTTAGGGGACATGATCCTGGAATCTGGGATGTGGCCTCTAAGAAGAAAAATAAAAACCGCTGCCCACAGTACAGACAGATTTACAGCAATTTTGTTTCTTCAACAGAGTGTTGGCTCAAGTCTTAGCATTGAACTGTTAAATCACACAACCAAAACCTGGAGCAAAGCATCTCAGCCAGCTTGTTGTTATATAGAAAGCTGCATAGAAATGCACCTTGATAAATGAGTCCTGGTGGTGAATGTGCTCATAGGTGTTTAGGTAGGATTTGGGGGCAGGATATTCTTCATTCTGGCTGCTCTGTAGCTATTTCCCTAGTGAATGTGAGAGAATTTGTCTTCCTAGCTTCTGAGCAGAATTGTATTATGACTAGAATGGTTAATTTGGGTCTTCATACAGTAATTGATCAGGTTAGGAAAACAAAGCGAGTGTGTGAGAGTTCAAGGCGCATATGTATATATAAGACAAGCTAACATGCACACAAAGGGAGAAAAAGTGATTCAAACCCTATTTCCTGTAGTTTATAAGGGCAGAAGAGATGTTTCATTCTGATGGTTAATTACTTCCATGTCAAACAGATACTATGATCATGAGGGTAGAAGTTAAATAGGGAAATTAAGCATACCTCAAAATATGCCTCTCAGAAAAAGAAAGAATGTAAAGTCAGTCAGTCTTCAGTCCCTCAGACTTCACTCAGAGACAATTTATGTCCCACGGCCCTTTGCAAAGCTGAAGACTTAAAGTGACTGAGCTAAATTAGTAAGTAGTCCCAACAATTACCAAAAAGTACAGTAACTTCAACTACTGAGCGATTTAGACTAAATCGCTATGGATGCCAGTGAATTTTCGGTAACACCTGCCCCCGCTAGAATTTTAGCAAGGCAGTCCAGTCTGACATCCCAATGCAATAATTTTACTGTGATGTCTTATTTTTGGTTTAGCCATAATATTTCTATTACACTATTTTTCAGGCCCTGATTACATCAAACAAAAATTTCAAGAAGGCATGGAGGTGAAAGAAAAATCTGAAGAAAAAGTTCAGGAAAAACCATCTACCCCAAAAGAGTCACCTCACTTTTATCGAAAAGGTACTACACCCCCTCGAACGCCAGAAGCAAGTCCAAGGCACAGTCCTCCCCTTTCTTCTGATCCTTCTCCTTCAAAACAACTGAAAAGGCAAAGCTCCACTTCTGGGGCAAGACTCAGTCAAGAAAAAAAGCTTTTAGCCACTGAGAATATAACACCCACAATTAACAAGCCTTTATATTCAAAAGCACCAATGAAGGAGGAAGTAGCTGTGAAACACCAGCCAAAGTTTTCAGCCCATCACAATCCCATCAGCACAGAGAATGGGGAGCTGCATGGTCACTATCATGGCTATTATGTAAAAATGAATCCAACAGTGCTTCCACAGGAGCTCAGGGAAGAAGATGAATATGTCAACCCATCACCATCAACACTTGCACAGATACCACCCTCACAGAAGCCAAGTCCTGCAAGATCTGGGGGTAAGCCAGATGCCAAAGAAAACAAACCTGACACAAAAATTAAGAAACCAGAATTTGCTGCACCAAAGAACCCAGCTAATAATGAGTCACATTCAGCAGTGGAAAAAGAAGTAGAGAACAGCTCGGTGAGTACTGCAAGAAACCTTTTCAGTTTCACTGCCCTTTTGCCTCCTAGTGCTGAGCTTTGCAAGCTAAAGTCAGGCAAAGCTCACTTCTGTCAAATCTTCATCTGGATACAATCTGCTAGCTAGAACCCACTACACCAGACTGGAGTGAGGAACAAATATTCCAGTCCTTTATGTTTATGGTTTTTGAAAACTGGGAAGGGATAGCCAGATACTGACAGAGTTTTGAGACATGAATCCCTATTGCATCTGTAAACACAAAAGTGTGTTAGTGTGTGTATTAGTGTTTGTATGTATGTGCATTTTGTGTGCTTGTAGATATATATTTGCAGATATACATGTCTGTATGTGTGTGTGTGTATATATTCCTCCCCTCCTCCCCAACAATGTTCGTTGTACTTCAGTGGATGATTGGGCAGTACTGGGAGTTACACTCTCGCTCTTCCCCAAAGGTCTGCTTTGCACTATTGTTGGAGACATGATGCTGACCCAGTCTAGACAATCTCTCATTTTAATTTTCTTCTCTGTGTTGATTTGAGCTCTAAAACCAGGCAATTTGCATCAAAATATAAACAGTTTTAAAATGCATACTTCTAACTATGCTTGAATTTTACAGTGACATGAAAAGTTGTACTCTTTTTCATCGGAAAATGGAGGAGTTTTAAACCTATACATTCAGATGAGTGTGAATCTGAATCTCATTATTATTTAGAAATAATAGAACAATCAATAGTTATGCAGTAAAGGAGAAATGACTAATAGCATCTTTTTCCATGTTAGAAGAAAAAGCCAGGTTATTGAATTCAGAATCGATGATGATGATAAAATTATTTCTAGGCAAGAGAAACTCAAGAAAATGTTGGTTGTAGATCCTAAAGTTAACCTTGAGCAAATGAAGAGTTCTAGATATTTGTCATAATGTTTCTTTTTTATAAGTGTTTCTTTGAATCGTTTTTGGTACTCCAGTAGAAAAAAACAAACGTGTCATTGTTGATGGGATAAACAGAATGACCCACTTAATGAGATCCAGATAGCCTAGCACTGATCTCAGGCAAAACAGTTGAATAATTGACACCAGACTTCATTAATAAAGAATTTAAAAATAAAGAGGTGTAAGAACTTCCAACCAACACGCATCATAAAAGATCTTGTCAAACAAGTTTGACATCTTCAGGTGTGACAGAGGAATCATATCCTCAACCAGGAAGGTCACTTGATTTACTTTTACGCAGTTATTTATTCTGACAAGGAAGCCAGAGTAGTGCAAAGGCTAAATGTCACATTAAAATAATTTTTATAAACTGATGGTTCTCAAAAGTAATTGGAAAAACATCAGTAATTTGGTATTATTCTGGTGAGGTCATTCTTGGGTTAATTCTGCTGCTCTATTTTATTAAGATTATTAATGACATGGAAGAGAACGTAAAAGTATTACCCATGAATTTTACAGAAGGCACAGAGACGAGGAAACTGATAAATAATGAAGTCAACTTATTATCAATACAAGCTGGTCCAAATCACCTGCTAAGAAAGATGCAAGTATAATTATCCATGTGCAGCACAGCAAAATGTATGATTGTGTATTGAAAGACAGTTCATAGAGCCTGGCCATGCAGGATTGGAACTGGAAGAGGTTGGTGGATCAGGAGCAAGAGAGGTAACTGAGCATGAGCTCCCAGTCTGCTGCTGTTGTTAATATAATCCTTAGATTTATCAACAGGAAAGATTAAGCAAGAGTCTGTTTTATCTGGTTTTGGCACTGGTGCAACCACTTCTGGAATAAAATACAGTGTCCATGAATCAGGGATTTTAAGCAGAAGAAACCTTAAGAGAAAACCCCACGAAGAGCTGCAAGAATGATTAAAACATATCTTACAATGAAAGATTCAAGGCAAAAACATCTGACACAATAAATCACTTTCTGTAAGTACACTTTATAAACTAGTTTCCCAAGCTAACAGGCAAATGGGTAAGAAGATCCAACACTGGAAATATTTAGATAAAAGTCTTCTTTTAAGTTACCTTTAATGATATTAATTAAATGTAACATCAGTTTTCAGATGCTGAGTTTTTGGAGCTGTCACTGAATAGTTCGATAATGAGCATTTTGCCAAGATAATATCCTCTAGTTCAGCGGGAGGCTTATACTCTGTTTTATACTCTGTTATGTGTGGATAAAAGTCGATGTTCACAGTGGTTTTGTAATCTGCAAATCTATATTACTGCCGATATCAGCCCTTTAACCTTTCAGATCTCACAGATATGAATGACTCCTGTGTAGGGTAGTGCAAAGCTGTCAGGCTTGTAAATGCTGAGGGAGCATGCACAAAATTTTAGCCTGAATTGGAAGGTTTTGTTCAGCTCTGGTGAAAATAAGTGGCTAGAAATAGTCCTTATTTTTCCTAGATTCCATCCAAACCAAATAAAGCTTTGGAACTGAGGGAGTCTTCACCTTAAGAAACCAAGTAGGGCATCTAAGCAGCAGTTGATTGACCTACTAGAATAACCAGAATAAGGACCATGAACCTATAACCTGTTATCAGGAAAGGTGGAAAAGTGATGAGATACTGTACATTAGCTACTGTTTGTTTACTTATATGACAGGTCATCTAGGAACTGTCCCTCTGCTTCATTTGGAGCACCCTAATGGCATTATTCTTGTCTTCAGCATTTCAACAAGGAAGGAAGGTAGAGTTTAGACACTCATTTTCACTGTAACAGCATTTAAAGGTATATGTAGATGTATGTGTTTTTTTCAAAGATATCTTTCATATATGTCTATAAATTTGCAGTGCTGAAACAAGTAAAAATCCTAAAACAATTGAAACAGAAAGGAGTAGCCTACTGGCCTAGCAGACTGAGGGAGAGACTTAGCACAGAATGACTGTTGACATTGCCTGGAGACTTTTCTTTTTCATTTTTAGTATCACCTTCCAACTTTAGAAAAACAGTAGCCTCTTCTGCAGTGCTGCTGGACTGAGCTCAATAGTGTGCTGGAGTTACACGGTGGCTAACATTAGAGTACGCAGTAACTGAGGAGACTCCAGATGAGTGTACTCCTCTTTATCCCACACACTTCTGAATGTTGAGAGACTTCCAAGGGGAATTATTTTCTTTTGGTCAGGAATTGCAATTGCTTTATAGTCATCCCGACAGATGATTTTATTACGGTTTGAACACAAACCTGATTTAGATCCTCCATAATGTTTAAAAATCTATTTGTTAAGGAATATAAAGAGAAAAGAACTCTCACTCTCATGAAAAGAGAATGAGAAAACACGTTTTTGGAATGCAAAAAGAAATTCCAACATTTATTGAGCACTTTCATTAGATTATCCGAAAGTGCTGGATAAAATTGTGCTTTTTCCAGCTTTCCAGTGATAAAGCATTAACATAGATACAGAACGTAAGATTTTCAGTTCTTCCTTCCGTGTATCTAAATCAAAGCCATTTCTCACATCTGAATGAAACATTAACTTCAAATTGGATTAAGAACTTTAAAAACTTTATTTACAGAAAAGTCTGCAGCAGCTGTTTTAGTAATCAAGATTCATGTTTCCTGTTTTCTGTGAATCTGTTACATCCTTAAGAATGTCATTCATTGAATATCATCTGTGCAATAAGTTAGTTATAGGAACAGTATTGATTCTCTAGATATCCCCATTTCTGGCATTACACTTGAAAAATATCAGCACATACTTCTTATGCCACACATATAAATGTGTTTCTTTATGTACTTATTTTCTAATGTTCAAAAATCAAAGTTTAAAATCATTTCAGAGCTCGTAAGAAAGAGTCATAGTTTTATCAAGGTGAAAACATGCATAAAGCACGATGACAGTCACCGTTCGTCAGCTGCTCCAAAATAGCTGTCTGTTTGGAGGCATTTACCCTAAAAAATGAGAGGTAAATCATCCTTTTTTCGCTGAAAAATAGGCACCTTCAAATCACCTTATATTTACCACAGTGTGAAGTGCGCACAGAGACACTTGACCACAGATCAGTACTAACTTGTTTCTAATTGCTCGTAAGCAGCCTTTAACCCCAGTATCAGCTTGCGTGCTGCTACCCCACCTTGAATATGAGCTAATTTGAGATTGTCTTGGATTTGGGTAAAAAGTAGGATTGAATTGCAAATACTACCATTGTAGTGTACAGTCATGAATACACATTTTATTTGCCTGATATGTGTCCATGTGTTGCCCTCAGTCATGTACAAGCCCAGGCGCAAGTGTTCTACTATATTGTCATTTTTTCATTTTGTAGGTAAAGATTTTTAAGCCACACAGAGCGTTTAGCCTGTCTTTTGCTGTATCTAAAATCATTACATTTTGCTGAATATTACCCAGTGTGCTTCTACTCTCACCTCTTTGTTCGCTTAACCTCCAGTTAGTAAGGGGTATGACCACCATGATGTTAGAAAAATAGATCAGACTTGCCTGATCCTACAAAAAAAACTCTGAGCAAGAACTTTATGCTAAATTTAATGGACATTTCTAAGGCAATGGGAATACAAGACTAGTCTTAATACTTCCTAGCACTACATTTTAGGAAAATAACTTTCTTCCCTCCCCAAATGAAAACTAATCACACAGTTATATTTTTAACTACATAAGCGTCAGATGTACTAGAAGCTGAAAGGGTAGTTTTTAAGCAGGACTAGAGTTTTTCTACTACAGATTCTTTAGTGCACCTGTTCTAGTCACTCTTGGACTGTTCAGACTAAATTTGGCTTTTGCTATTTTAAGCCCTTGCAGGACACCAAAGTCTTATTTATGGTATTTGTCTTAAAGCATTAAATGCTCATTTCATAGGTGTCTACAAACCAAGTAGTAGTTTATTGCATAATAACCATGTGCTCCACAGATACTCTTTGATCATTTTTAGTATATCAGGAAATTCTTCATCGGGCTCAAAGTTGTAGTTATCAGAAGTGGAAACAAAATTCACATAGCAGGCCAAAGGAGATGAGATTTACTTCTTTGTATAAAGCACAAACTCATTATCATAAACAGTTAACACATTTTTCTTTGATCTTCATATAAAAACAACAACCCAATTCTTAAGGTGTCACTTTCTTCTGTCTTTGTAGATGAGATTTCTTGATTCAGACTATAGCCCCTAGGATTTTTAGCCTAATTTATCGAATGTTATTGTGGTGAGATTGTTATACCTAACCTGACTGACAGATGCATCAATAGAGAAGTCCCCTCCCCCTCCACCAAGCTTAATTCTGTAAGACTGCGCACTAATGATACCGAGTTGTTGTTTGAGCTGCATCCCAACTTGCCATTCATGCAGCCGTCAGGAGGATGTTTCCGGATATATTTCAGGTAGTGAAGAATGAGTTCCTGGCTCCTGTGAAGGCCCCAAAGGTCCAAAATCTTCTTCAATAGTATTAAATCAACTTGATTTCCATGGATGTTATTTTCAAATATGCAAAGTATCAGATGGCCAAATCCAGGTGAATTTTAACAGTATTGGGCAATTATCTCCTTCACTGTTCCTTGCAATTCCTCACGCTGTATAACTGTAAAATCTTTAGGTGGGACCCTAAACTATAAAAGAACTATTGACCTGATTTTGGTCACACAGGAAGTCCCTGTTAGAATCACAGAATCATAAACTGCTTTGGGTTGGAAGGGACATTTAAAGATCATCTAGTCCATCCCCCCTGCCATTGACAGGGACATCTTTCACTAGATCAAGTTGCTTGAAGCCCTGTTGAACCTGCCTTTGAACACTTGCAATGGTGAGGCATCTACAGCTTCTCTGAGAGACCTGTACCAGTGTCTCAGCACCAGAGAGAAAGATGCTGAATCCAAATCTTAGTGGAAATTAATAGTGTACTCACACTTCCTGTAGACAGATTTGTAACATTAGCATGTATGTACTATTCTTGTTTGCCAGGAGATTCTGGGATTTTTATTTTTTTTTTCAAAAAAAAAAAGAAGTCCTTAATTGAAATGTTCACTCTAAAGGTGTTGACATGGACATTCCAAGACAGCAGAACTGAGAGATTCTCAAAGTAGCTGTTGTTTCAAGAAAAACGTGTTTTATTGCTCAGAGTCTTCCAATATGGCTTTCATTCATAAATCTCACAATTGCTGAATACATTTGGTGGAAATCCCAATAAGAACTTGGATTTCCTTCACAGTAGAAAAGAACAGAAGTAACCAAGCTAGCACCATTGTGACCATGCCAGAAAGAGAAAGAAGAAATTAACATTGAGTTATGCACTACTGCAGTGAGGCTGCTTACAGTGCTGTGGTCAGAAATGTAACCATATCACACTTTCCTTTTATGCCTGTTGTCTGTCACCAAGTGTCTCATATTCTTTGGCACGTAGCGGCTCCCTTCCAGTAAGAAGGAAGGAACATGGTTCCACTTCTGTTCTGTGACCCAGTGGTTAAAACATACCACTGGTAAGTGGGAACTTGTTATTCAGAATCCCTTTGACTAAGGTGACCTTAAAGCTAGTCTTCAATTTCCTGGTGAATATTTTAGACATTCTGCCATCAAGCAAAATGCAAATATTGCTGCCAATACCATTACCCCTATGGCAACACTTAACTGGCGTCCTGATAGCCTCAATCACTGTTTGAACTTGAACACCTAGTTCCTCAACCAGTGAACAGATGCCTCTGAATAGGTGCAGGGAATTTTATGGCCTTTACGGATGGAGTTGCCGACTGAGTTTAGACTCCCCAGAGATTTAAGGAGTACTTGGCATAACGTATTTTGTGCCTTACTCGAGAACGTAGCAGTCCACATCTGGCCTGCCATCTTAACTATGTGTACAGGTGTGTTCTGGTGGAAAGTGTTTAATGACACCATTGCAGGACAACAGCATGTGATATAATAATGACACGAGACTATTTAATAGCTTCCCAATTACACTGCTGCAACTAAATAATAATAGCAAATTCTTACACCTTAGCATTCCAGAAATTATATAGCTAATCTTAGCATTGTCATGAAGCATAATGAACTTCTGCAAGGCATGCCTCATGTGGAAAGTGAAAAAAATTATGTGATTTCTAATGAAATATATACCTTCTTATGCGTGCCAGTGATCCTTATGTAGCTCACAAGATAGTTTTCTGCAGAGATTTTTTGGTGGGGTTTTTCATGATTTAGGAAAGTATTGTCTGAGTGAAGAGTTTTTCTGTTTCTACGTACAGGAAATGTGCAACCTTAAAATATAAGCATGTACAAATCTTTGAGAAAATATGTTGTAGTAAACCAAATATGTTAAAAGGAGAGGAGAAGAATTGAGAATTTCCATGTGTTCAGGACATTGTTTCAAGTTGCTTATTAGAAAGTATCCATGTTTAAATAAATGTATCCATAATTGCTGAAAAGAATTAAGAACTTTGTTCTCTGGCTTCACAGAAAGACTAAAACTATGTGATGATTAAGTTTTCCAACCAAGTTTAGCTCTAGCTAGGAAGGGAAGGAGTATTTTGACTTTTCTTCAGGTCTCCAAAATAAGTGTCAGAGTAAATCAAAACAAATTTTGCAGGTGTAAAATTGTTTTTTTTAATCTGTATGTTAATGCAATGGTAAGTAGATTTTTTTTTTTTCCCCTTTGGTTATCGAAAAGTGGGTATTCTTTTCACAAAACACATTGTCATGTCTGTTTTGAAACGGGTTGGAATTAGAGAAGGAACCTACTGTAAGGATGAAGAGCAGTGCTCCAGCTTTGCTAAGGTACTTCAAGTTCTTTGTTTTGCTTTATTTTAAGCTGATATTGTTTCTGTGTTGATGGGTTTGGTTTTATTTGTTTATGCAGTCATATTTGTCAGGTAATCTCAGTGTGATTAAGAACAGTGTAATAATGTACTCTCACCTGTATTTATCCAGCTCACTTTCACACAGATTACCCTTTAGCTCACCTGAATACCAAGGGTAATGGCTACATTTCAGGAGCAGAATCTCTATCTTCAGTATTTAGGTAACCCTTCAGAGCAAGGTCAAAACCGTTAGAAATTGTAAAATCAGTCATGTTCATTGCTGTGCACTGTGTGGAAGGTTGCATTAATTCTGATATCTTTATTTTATTTTCAGGGCCCTAACTCAGTCATGATTGCCCTGGTAATGCTGTTGAATATTGGTTTAGCTATTCTTTTTGTCCATTTTCTAACTTGATTGGAATTAGGAAAGGTAAGAAAGGTCTTGTTTTCATATAAAATCACCTTATCCACCCCACCTCAGATGATAAAGTTTTAATTTCTTTGCATACTTAATGTTCCCTGCTTTAATTTTAGCTATGCCTGAATGTGATTCAACATAGTTATTTAATAATGTAACTGTTTTGACCCTTCAGTGAAGTCATGACAACTAGTGGTGTTAGCCCACAGTTCTCTGCAGTTGTGTCATCAGCCTTTTAAATGGCACCTGTCATACTCAGACACAGGGAAGGAGGCTTGGAATTGGGATGGGACGCAAGAGAGATGAAACTTGGAAAATTCAGCCAGGGGCCCAGATCAGTTTCTCTGCTCATGGCTCGTGGCTTTGGGGTCCTCTGAAAGCTGAAGCAAGCAGCCATGTTGGAAAACAAACAAAATAATCTGCTGAAGCAGCCCCGCCAGTGAAGTGCGTTGGCTTCTCCATCTGTTCCAGCAGAGTGTGACTAACCTGGAAATGTACGGAGCTGCACTTTTTGTTGATGGAAGCTAACAGCTGCCTTACTATTTTACCGTCTGATGTTTTTAGTGGGGAGATGGGAAAACGACTGCCAGAGGAATGTGGTCAGAGGATTCTGTTGCTGTGGAAGTGATTCCAGCGTTCACTCCTATCTCATTAGAAGAAATAGTTAGCAGCATCAGTCACCAGTCTTATTCCATTACCTGCTGCTTTTAACATCTCCTGCAGTGTTCTGGGAGATCGGTTTTCATTTGCCTGTGCATGATTCTGTTCATTCGTTGTTTATGAAATTTGATGTATAGCCATAACATGGTGTCTAGTCCAACCTGGAGAAAGCTACCAGTTTGGCATGACAGCAGAAGCAGAAAATGAAATCTCCTTTTCCAATCCAAAGATAAAATTCATAAATTAATTTTCCTGAACCTGAAGAGCCATTTTGCTTTAAGGTTTAGTAAGTAATATACCATGACTGCGAAATTTAAAAATGTTGATACCTTCCTAAAAGTGCTCAAACACTTATGCCAATAGCAAGCAACATTTTTCATAATAAAAGAATAAGAATCCGAAGTTGATATCAGCACATTCTAAACAGGAGGTGGATTACCAGAATAAGCCAAGAAATACAGGGTTTGCATGTTAACTTTTTTTTTCCTTTTTTTTTTCTTTTTAATTCTGGTGCTGTGGTAATTGGTGATTTGAATTATTATGTTTCAACACTGAGGTATTTTGCCAGCAGTTAAAATAAAGTCTTGTCTGAGTGCACGTTAATGCCAATGGCAGTTAAGCTAGCTAATGCTCATAACAAACGATCGTAATTTTAAAATACTAGATTTGTGTTGAATACATTCAGGTAGAGCATTTAGAAACGTTAAGAGATTGTTTATCGATTTGATGCATTCAGTGTCTTTAAAGTCCATTCATAGTTTTACCTCAGCATTAAAAATGCCTCAAAATTTTTCATTTGGAAAGTTTGTCTTAAGTAGTTGCACAGCCCTTTGTTCAAATGATGTGATCATGTTTCTTTTTCTGTGCCATTATACTGTAATTATTGTACCCTATATTAACCGAAAGCATGCTTATTTACCTAAAATATGTGGTGTGGTCATTTGGCAAGTAAATATTTTAATTTAAAGCTGCAAAAAGCAAAGGGCTTGTATTATGGTTTCTTTTATCTCTATTAGAAAATCTTTCATACAATATAGTTTTTGAACCTGTTTGTAAACTTTCTAAGTGTTTGCATGGTTTAATGGGCGACATTCTTACAAAGTACATTAGCTATCTTTTGGTGCAGCGTGTTAAAGTCATGTAGGTATGGACTGAATATTGTGCAGCAAAGCAGCTCCCAGCAGGGCAGTAACACCGTGGTGTTTTTTACAGAAGTATGTTGAGAATCCGGTGTTTTGACCAGTGTGGATAAAGAAGAATGCAGAAAGAGAGCAAATGAAAATAAAACTTGTATATTTATTTTTTAAAAAAGTTTAAATTGTGTTTTAAATTTAGGAAAGTAATTTTTAAATAAGAACAAAATTTTAAAAGTTATTGTGTACGCCTTGACATAATGGACAAAATGTTCCATCTGACAGTGAAATCACCCCGTCTCCTTACACGGAGAGGTAATTTTGTTACTGACGTATTTAATTCCTATTAAATGTTTATTTAAAATACTTTATGCTCTGGAAATAATGGGTAACAAAGCTTATGGAAATGTTTATAAATTTAAGTAAGCATGTTAGTACCATTTATAAATATGTATGATTTATAAGCTTTTTTAAAACAAAGCTCAAACAAATTGTTGGTATTTTTCTAAAATGTGCACAGCTGTATTTTACATGAAAGGCTATTTATAATTGGTTGTTATACTGTACACTACATTTTGGACAGCACAAGGAAGCCTGCCAATGTACTTAATAATGTCATTTTGTCCATTTACAGTTTCTTGCTGTCAAAGAATGAACTCTTTATCTATGAGTTTCTCTATTTATAATTCTTGACCCAAAATGTACAATGTACAGTTTTCACAACTGTATTTGCTCTAATAAAAATAAGTTGGTTATTAATAGAGTTTCAGACTAGTTTTTCCTGTTTATGAATTACTTCATTCATTCTCTGGAAGCAATTTTTCTAACAAATTTAATAAACAAGGAGTGAAGCAGGAAAATGGGTGAAGTCCTGGCCCCTTTGAAATCATTGTGAGCTTCTGTTTTAAACAAAACGATTCTGGGAAACAATTAAAAGTGAAAAAAAAAAAAAAAAAGTAATTTCCTTATGTGTCTTCTTTCCTCTTCTGCTACAGGATTTTTGTATCTTTATAGATTTAGTATCTTAAATTATATTCCCACTACAGGAGTGGTTTAGTCAATCTTGTTTTAATCAGTGACTGGACCTTAAACAGCTGATCTTGTAAGCGAATCAACAACTTTTTCAGACTTCCCTTCTTCTCAGGGACTTCGTAGGTTCAAAATTAACAGGGCATTTGTGAGCCAATATTCTACACAGAGAAAATTCACCAAGCCACCACATTTGCTGAACTAGTAAATTGGCTGAGAATTTTATTTTCTGTGATTCGAGTTCAGATTACTGAACAGCACGTCAACTGTGTGGAACCCTAATGTTTGATTGAAAAGGAGAGCAAGTTTTCTTAGTAGTCCCTATTTAATGGAAACATATTTTTAGGAAATAAGTGTTACTGTCTTTTTTTAAAAAATAGTTCTACCAGCATGAAGATAAACTTTAAGAATTTGTATTTTCTGTGCAATAACCCACTCCCTAAAGAAAATTTTTGGGTTTTCAAGTAGAGAAAAATATATTCTCAAGAAAAATAAACAGGTATAAATATAATGCCAGGAAATTTTAAAGTCAAGTTCACTGAGACAGCTCTTCTCTGACATTTTGCAATCCACATTGTGTAACATGTTCAATAATGAAAGTAAAGTTGACATGAAATCTTTCTTAAGTTCTATGAATGTGATAATATACTCAGGCATATATAAATCTTAACGGCAACAAGGAAAGGAATTGCCTAGAAATAGAAGGAAAAAAAGTTTTCATAATCAGCTGAGGAATATGACAGCTCTCCCTGCTCATCAGTGTTCAGAATTCTCAAAAATCAACATCTGCATAGAAATACAACAAGTTTTCTATGGTGTGTGAAATCAGATGGAAATTTCTTCTCTGACATTTCTACCAATGGTTTATATCAGTTATAAACTTACAAATGGATCTACGTGGAAATGCATCTGCTATGCCTAAGGGGGAAAAAACCACACATGGACATACAATGCAACTTAATGCTCTGAGATTTGCTCCGCTATGGGAAATTTTGCCCCACTTCAGCGCAAGGAAATTTTTTCCCAGGCAAAGTAGTTTCTCCTGGCACAGTTGTGTGTTTGCCCACAGATGCCAGTACGCAGTGAGCTCTCACCTTTGAATTTGAGGTCTGGTTTCTTGGGCAACTCCATTTATCTGATTAAACAGTATATGTAATGTAGACAGAAAACCAGTAAATGAATGATGTTGAGATGCCAAAGGCTGAAGAAAAAAAATCATCTGTTATCATTGCTTTTTAGTCTATCTAGTCCTTTCTTTACTTAGTATATATAGTTCTTACTTTGCCTTCTCATCAGAAAAGCAATAGGGTCACAAAGAGTGTGGAATGTGCTTTCCAAAAGGAGAGGCTCTTTGAAAGCAGAAATTTTGTAACAGATGACTACAACTTGCCTTTCAGATACAGACGTGTGTTAAAAAAATCATTAATGCAACCGAGTGCTGACTTCAACAGGAGTAAACACCTCTTTACAAGTGTTTGATTAAAAGTCTCAAAATGGTTATATATGTAACTGCTAATGAGACATTACATACCTATTAAAAGCTCTGTTAAGATGGTTACACAATATTAAAAAATTCTGACATTAACCTGGATGCAACAATAAAAGCCTGCAGAAATTCAGTGCTTATTGAGCTATGGAAACATTTTTAGTTACTGACTAACTAACTTACATGTTATTAATAAAACATGGTTGTGAATTATATCTAAATGGTTTTACTCATAGCTCATTTGAACCGTTTAGTCAGGGGAGACAGTTCTACATACCGTTCTCCTATGGAAATGTAATTCAGTAAACAAAGAAAGTGAAGAGAAGGGAAATTAAATAAGCCTTTCAAATAAAGGAGTCTCCTCATTCTCTCATTTAATATTCACAGAAACAGGAAAAAATAGAAATTATGTTAAGTGAGCAAGAAGCTGTGTATGGCAACATGCTGTAGCTGAGCCAGCTACAATATCGATCTCGTTTTCTACTGGACGCAGAAACCGCAAAATAAGAGACGTTACACCTCCTACCATCGTAGGAGGTAAATATAATTTCCATACACAACATCTTTAAGAAAAAATGTCTATAGTGTCAACAGCTTTTAGACTAGGAGGAAAAAGCAGAAACTTCATCTATCTAAATACTTCATGTTGTGACCATTGCTGTAACAGCTGAACAAATTCCTCACCCCCGTAAAACCCATAGCAAAAATGAAGCTGGTAACAGATTTTTTTTTAAATCACTCATGTTTCTTCCTTTTGTTTGCTAGAAGG